GACCACCACCCGCTGCCACGCGGGCTCGCTTGTCGGGCGGCTCCTCCAGCACCTCGGCCACGCAGGATTTGAGCACCTCAGCCAGCCTCGGCGCCAACTTGCTGGCGTCGGCGACTCCCCCCATCGTGCCAAGCGCTTCAAGCAACTTAGCCTCGTCCAGCTTGATCTCTGGGCCCGTGAGGTCCATCGACTGATGCTGCCCTGGCTCTTCCGCTGGCTGCGAGGATGCGAGAGCACGCACTTCCTCCTCCAGCTGCATGCAGACCTTCTGGCGCTCCTCGACCACCAGCGCAGCTGCCTTGGCCTCCTCCTGCGCCTTGAGCAGCTTCTGGTCCGCTGCCGCCTTGTCCTGCTCCGCCTTCTGGTAGCGGATGCGAGCCTGCTCAGCTCGTCGCGACAACGCCGTGAGCTTCGCTGGCAAGGGCTTGTTCTCATACAGCTTACGACGAGCTCCCTCCAGCTGCTCTCGAGCAGCCTTGAACGGTAACACCACCCACGGGGAGCGGACCGACTCCAGCCACTGCACGTGCTTGCCGAGGCCGTCGATCTCATCCCGTAGCTCTTCCGACTCATTATTCTCCACTGCCGCGTCGCCTCCGCCAGGGTCAGCCGAACCACGCAGCTTGGCATTCTCGGCCTCCAGCTGCTGCAGGCGCTTCTCCAACTTGGCAAACGAGGCAGCAGTTGCATCGAAGGTGCCGTCGGCCTTGCGCTTGCTCCGGCTGGGGACGTCCGAGGGGGCGACGCACTTGAATGCCACACACTTGTGCAGCTTGCACTTGTAGCACGTCTCGTTAACCCCATAGTTAATGAGAGGAGCCCCAGTCCGACGAAACGTGCAAAACTTACACATCCAGTCTTGCTTGGACTCCTGCTGCTGCTTCCCACTCCCTGTCCACGGCGCTGGCGCCATGGCGACGTCTTTGCTGTGCGTTGGGCCGCCAGAGAGCCCCTGCGGTACTGGCTGAAAGAAAAGCTGTCGAGCGCAAGCGCTCTGGCACTGCCGCGGACTAGCGGTATCCACTTTGTTCCCAGGGGAAACCAAAACCTTGAGCCAAAATGGCTACGGAGGAGGAGGAGGAGGAGCAGGAGCAGGAGGAGGAGGAGGAGGAGGAGGAGGAGGAGGAGGGGGAGGAGGAGGGGGAGGAGGGCAAGCTAGGTGCGCTCGCGTCATATCCGACGTCCTACCCCACCCACCCAACCCTTACCATGGCGCTGATTTTCTCTATCCGCGGACGCGTGTCGTAGCGGACCTGTGGCTCCGCGCGCGCGTGCGTAGTGGGTGGTGGTGCGCGTGCGTGCGTGCGTGCGTGTGTGCGTGCGTTGTGGTGGTGGTGGTGGTGGTGGTGGTGGTGGTGGTGGTGGTGGTGGTGGTGGTGGTGGTGGCGGTGCGGCGCGGTGGTGGCGGGCGGATGGGCGCGCGAGAAAGAGGCCCGCGCTGGGGCGAGAACGCCATCCTGAACGACGGAGGCCAAACACCGATCCGAAAATGAGGCCCACGCTGCAGCGGGAGCACGATTCGGAACGATTCGGGAGCAGAAATGAGGCCGGCGCCTCAGCGAGAGCAGCATTTTGAAAAAAAACGCAAGCGAAAACCCGTTTCCCGGGAATCCTGTGTGTAAAAAAACAATACGCGGGGGGGTGTCGGATATCTTCGGGACGCCATCAGGGGAAGTGGGAGAGTATTTTCATATTGTGTAATTGTGGAGGAGGGGGAGGAGGAGGAGGAGGAGGAGGAGGAGGAGGAGGAGGAGGAGGAGGAGGAGGAGGAGGAGGAGGAGGAGGAGGAGGAGGAGGAGGAGAGGAGGAGGGAGGAGGAGGAAAAGGAGCGGAGGAGGAGCAGGGGGAGCAGGAGGAGCAGGGGGAGGGGGAGGAGGGGAGGAGGAGGAGGAGGAGGAGGAGGAGGAGGAGGAGGAGGAGGAGGAGGGGGAGGAGGGGGGAGAGGAGGAGGAGGAGGAGGAGGAGGAGGAGGAGGAGGAGGAGGAGAGGAGGAGGAGGAGGAGAGGAGGAGGAGGAGGAGGAGGAGGAGGAGGAGGAGGAGGAGGAGGAGGGGAGGAGGAGGAGGAGGAGGAGGAGGAGGAGGAGGAGGAGGAGGAGGAGGAGGAGCGAGCAGGAGGAGCAGGAGAAGCAGGAGGGGGAGGAGGAGGAGGAGGCGGAGGAGGAGGAGGAGGAGGAGGAGGAGGGGAAGGAGGGGGAGGCGGGGGAGGAGGAGGAGGAGGAGGAGGAGGAGGAGGAGGAGGAGGAGGAGGAGGGGGAGGTGGAGGAGGAGGAGGACAGGGAGGTGGGCGAGCGGACGCGCGGCTGGCAACTCTGGGCGGCCCGGGCAAGGAGACGAACGAGCCAGGGAGGGCATCGTGCATCGCGTGCGCGCCCCGGAACGACCAACTTCTCCTCCCCGACCCTGGGACCCCCCCTCCCAGGGGCCGCGGACCGCGTGGCCCGACGGGCGTGCGGCTCGGGACGGGTCGGGGGAGGCGTCGATCGCCCGGCGCCTTGGGAAGGCGGCCTCGGGAGGGGAGTCCAGCGGAGCTGGCGACGAGGAGCGAGGAGCCTCCCCCCGACGCTCCCCCTCCCCCCCCGGGGCGCCGACGCGGGGACTGCCCCCGCCACTGCCGTCGCGGACGCTGCAACGGCGGTGGACGCTGAGACGGAGCTCGGCGAGGACTACCGAGCGACGCCCACCGTGGGAGTTGCGAGGGGCGGGCCGAGGAGGTGATTCACCAGCAGGGGCACGAGGTCCTTGCTCGGCCCCCCTTTGCTGCTTGTCGGCGATGCGGAAGGTACTCGCAGAAGCAAGGGCGACTCCTGCCAGGGGAGTGTCCAGGCCTGCTCCCCGCACGCCACCTCTGCAGCACGCCGGAGGCGCGATCGGCAGATCTGGGGACTCCGCCCGACCTCAGGCAAGGCCTTGGGGGAGATTCGGGGTTCGGGATCGCTGTTTTCTTCTCTGACCTTGAGAGTGAGCTCTCTTCTTGGACTGTCCAATATCGGCTTCCTGGTTCCTTGTGTGGCGGTCTGGGGACCGCCCGCTGCGCTCTTCTAGAATCTTGTGGCCACAAGAGCTCCTGGCCTTTGTGGCCGTGCTGGCCTGAAGTGGCCGTGCTCTGTGCCCGCAAGCCTCCTGGAGCCTCGTGAGCCCGTCGGCCTCAGTGGCCACCTGTTCAGGGCTGAGCTCGATTCACACGTGAGTCGGACGCTGTCCCCTTGGCCTAGCGACACATGCAAACACACACACAAACACACACACACACAACATACACACAACATACACACAACATACACACAACATACACAAACACACACACACAACGAACAACACACGCAATACACAACACACAACAGACGAACAACACACAGCACACACAACACACAACACACAGCACACACAGTACCCCCCCCCACACACAAACACACACACACACACACCCACACACCCACACACCCACACACCCACACACCCACACACCCACACACCCACACACCCACACACCCACACACCCACACACCCACACACCACACACACACCACACACCACACACACACCACACACCCACACACACCACACACCCACACACCCACACACCCACACACCCACACACCCACACACACACACACACACACACACACACACACACACACACACAACACACACAACACACACACACACACACCCACACACCCACACACCCACACACCCACACACGCACGCACTCACGCATGCACACACACACACACGGCCTCGGCGCAGCGACGAGGCGGAGAAAATCCCCAAGCGAGCAGAGCGCGCGTGCGGCTGGCCCCTCAGAAGAAGGGCAAGGATCCCATTGGATCGACCATGCCATGCACATACCCGGGCATGGCCAGCGGGTGTGCAGAGGGTGCAGGACATGCCCGAAGGCGACAAAACGGTGCAGCGAGGCAGGCGGCCAGGACGAGTTGCAACTAAGGCGGGGCAACAAAAGACAGTAGAACGACCCAAGATCGCAACCACACCACAAGCATCATCAGCATCATCATGTCATCACCATATCAGCAACATCATCATCATCACCACCACCATCATCACCATCATCATCATCATCAGCATCATCAGCATCAGCATCAGCATCAGCATCAGCATCGGCATCACCATCATCATCATCATCATCATCATCAGCACCATCATCATCCTAATCATCAGCAGCGTCAGCAGCGGTAGCAGCATCATCATCACCATCACCATCTCCATCCCCATCATCATCATCATCATCATCATCATCATCATCATCATCATCATCATCATCACCATCACCATCATCATCATCATTACCATCACCATCATCAACATCATAATCATCACCATCGTCACCATCATCCTCAACATCCTCATCACCACCACCATCATCATCATCACCATCATCGTCATCAACATCATCGTCATCCTCATCAACACCGCCATCACCATCACCAAGATCATCAGCATCACCACCATCATCATCAACATCATCATCATAATCATCATGATCATCATCATCCCCATCATCATCATCATCATCACCGCCATCGCCATAACCATCACCATCACCATCATCGCCATCACCATCATCATCATCATCATCATCATCATCATCACCATCCTCATCACCATCACCAACACCATCACCATCATCAGCAGCGGCAGCAGCGGCAGCAGCAGCGGCAGCATCAGCATCCTCCTCGTCCTCGTCCTCCTCTTCCTCCTCTTCCTCCTCCCTCTCCTCCTCCTCCTACTCCTCCTCATCACCATCACCATCACCATCACCATCACCATCACCATCATCATCATCATCATCATCGTCATCCTCATCCTCATCCTCATCACCATCACCATCACCATCACCATCATCATGTCATCATCATCATCATCATGTCATCATCATCATCATCATCATTATCATCATCACCATCACCATCATCATCCCCATCATCATCACCATCATCAGCATCACCGCACGACGTCGGAATGATTCGCCCATGACGTCCTCCAGTTATCATTTTCCAGGAACCACTGGAGCGTCCCGAGCGCCTCCTGCGCCAGGAACGGCACCAGCGAGCCCTCGGGCTCGCCTCCGGGCAGGAAGCCGAGGCCCGACGCCTCGGAGAGGTTCACCGCGAGGCTCCAGGCATCGCCGAGGACGCCCTGCATGTGGCCCTTAGTCGGCGAGCGCACCGTGGCGAGGCCCGCAGCCTCGCTCTGCTCGGCGCCCGCGAGCAGCGCCTGGTGGTGCCGGTACGCGAGGTGCAGGACGGGCGTGCCGCTGTTCGGGCGGGGCCGGAGGCATCTCGGGTCCACGGCGTCCCCAGCTTGTCGCTCGATCTTGGAGCCCCTTGGGCACTCTGGGCCTCGGGAGACGACGACGACGACGACGACGACGACGACGACGACGACGACGACGACGACGACGACGACGACGACGACGACGACGACGACGACGAGGAGAAGCCCACCGCGCATCACCTGCGCTCGGGGGGCTGCGGGGGCCTCCCTGGAAATCCTGGGGGCACCTTGGGCCAGGGACGCTCCTGGCAGCACCCGAGCTGTGGCCGGACTTCTCGAACACGTAGCGCACCGCGCCGCCGGCCGCGACCTCGAGGTCCACGCCCGTCAGCACGGCTCGCGCGTGTGCGTCGAGGGTGGCCTCGTCGCCCTGCTCCACGACGCGCGCGAGCCGGATCCAGCCCTCCAGGGGGCCGCTCAGCTGGCCGGCGGCGTCGAAGTCGAAGGAGCCGTCGACGAGCTCTCCCGCAGTCGTGAGCGCGTAGACGCGGAACTCCACGCCGCCGTTGTTGACAAACCTCCAGACTCCATCGCCGACCTTTTGCACGGTCGTGATGGCCCGCTCCGAAGTGATGCGAGGGGTGAACCCGCCTTCGAAACGGGCGGAGATGTAGGCCATGCCGCTGAAGATCGGGAAGGTCACCTGGCGCGACGTGCCCGTCGGGCCGCGCCACACTGCCCAGATGCCGAAGAGCCCCTCGCGCACGATGACGTGCCCCTGCCCGTCAGAAGACTCGACCGCCCCGAGGCCAAACTCGCCGGTAAAGGGCGTCGTGTACCACTCGATGCGGTCAGTGCCTGTCGTCTGGGCGCTGCCGTACACGCTGGTGACCTCGCCGTTGGACACCAGCAGCTCGGGCGGCGACCCCGCGGCCGTGGAGGCCCACCGCAACGCGTACGGCCCGGGGATGATTGATAAGTGCGCTCCGCTCGACACGGCCCAGTTGGCCCAGAACTTGTTTGTGCCCTTTGGCCCCGCCACCTCGGTGTGCGCCGGCGGGATGTATCGGGAGCGGAAAAGAGGGGGGTGTCCAAGAGGGGGGGGCGCAAATCATGACCGGCGGCATGTGCGCGGCCCAGCGGGGGGACCAGGGGCGCAATGAAATAAGAAGAGGCGCCATGACACCTGGGGAGATATCATGGCCCCCGCCATGAGATCCACCCCCCCCTAGTCATCACCCCCCTCTTTTCCGCTCCCGAATGTAGATCCCCGACGCGTTGGGGAAGACCTGGCTGTCGGGCGCTGCCGTGCCCACCGGGCGCAGGAGCGACGCCCGCGCCGCGCGCACGCCCAGCACCAGCCACCACCGCCAGGCCCAGCCGAGGCTGCTCCTGCGGCCAGGCGCTCTCGACGCCATGCGGCTCCCCGGCAGGCAGGAGCAAGGAGCCCCTCCGACAGACCGGCGGCAGCAGGTAGTTAGGTATCGGCTCTCTAAGGGGGCCACAGGCGAACCCTCCCCCTCCCCCCACGATTCTCGAGGGGGAGGGTGGGGTTCACTCCGCTCGGGAGCTCCCGAAGGAGGTGAACCCCACCCTCCCCCTCAAAAAAAATCGTGGGGGGGAAGGGGCAGTATCCCCAAACAGGGTTTTTAGACCCACTGCGGTTTCCAAGGTCGATTGCGTGCCCGCCTAGTGCGGGCTGGCATGGCATGTTAAAACATGCCTCCTCCTCCTCCTCCTCCTCCTCCTCCTCCACCTCCTCTTCATCGCGAACGGCATTTCGGAGCCTAGAGTTGCGAGGATGTCTCCAGCGTACATAACGGGCTGGACCACCTCGCGCGCGGCATCTCGGACCCCAGAGTTGCGACGATGTCTCGGGCGAAACGTGCTGCGAGGAAGTCTCAGGCGAAACGGGCTGGACCACCTCGAGCGCGGCGTCTCAGAGCTCCGAGTTGCGGGGGCCTCCTGGTGCCTCCTGGGGCCTCCTGGGGACCTCCTGGAGCTTCCTCCTGGGCCTCCTGTGGCCTCGTGAACTCCACCTGGGGTTTCCTGAAGCCTCTTGGGGCTCCCAGGGGGGATATCTAACCTGTGGCCGTTTGGGCCTCTCCAAATGGAGGGGGGGGGGGCACAAGAGCAGGAAAAATCAACGAATCGACACCGGATGTGTATTAACTTGACACGTTCTGATAAGCGGCCTCCTGGGGCCTCCTGGGAGCCTCCTGGGAATCTCCTGGAGACCCCTGGGGCCTGTCCTGGGCGTCCTGCGGCCTCCTGGTGCCTCCTGGGCCTCCTGGGGACCTCCTGGAGCTTCCTCCTGGGCCTCCTGTGGCCTCCTGAACTCCACCTGAGGTTTCCTGAAGCATCTTGGGGCTCCCAGGGGGGATATCTAACCTGTGGCCGCTTGGGCCTCTCCAAATGGAGGGGGGGGCACAAGAGCAGGAAAAATCAACGAATCGACACCGGATGTGTATTAACTTGACACGTTCTGATAGAGGGCCTCCTGGGGCCTCCTGGGAATCTCCTGGGGGCCCCTGGGGCCTGTCCTGGGCGTCCTGCGGCCTCCTGGACCTCTCTGGGGCCTCCTGAGGCTCGCAGGGTCCCATGGAGGATATGTAACATGTGGCCTTCTGGGCCCCCAGGCTGGACCACCTCTTGCGCAGCATCTGAGAGCTCAGAGTTGCGAGAATATCTTGTGCGAAACAGGCCGGACCACCTTGCGCACGGCATCTCAGATCTCAGAGTTGCAAGGATTTCTCAGGCGAGACGGGCCGGACCACCTCGCGCAGGGCATCTCAGAGCTCAGAAGTTCGAGGATGTCTCAGGCGAAACGGGCCGGACCACCTCGCGCGCGGCATCGGGGAGATCAGAGTTTCGAGGATGTCTCAGGCGAAACGGGCCGGACCACCTCGCGCGCGGCATCTTGGAGCTCAGAGTTGCGAGGATGTCTCAGGCGAAACGGCCCGGACCACCTCTCGCGCGGCATCTGGGAGCTCAGAGTTTCGAGGATGTCTCAAGCGAAACGGCCCGGACCACCTCTCGCGCGGCCTCTCAGAGCTCAGATTTAGGAGGATGTCTCAGGCGAAACGCTCAATCCCGGACAACTCAGAAACGAGAGTTGTGAGGATGTCTCAGGCGAAACGGGCCGGACCACCACATTTGTTTGAGGATGTCTCTGCTTAGCTTTCCCTCGGCCGGAATTAGCTTCTATCACAACAGCACCCCGTTCAGCAAGCTGTTTGGGGGAAAATCGTGGGGGGGAAGGGGCAGGGCTCGCACCTGGCCCCCTACTCTCGCTTCAGATCGATTGTGGGTAGATACGGCCAGAGGGCAGCACAACAGCTGCGCCGGCCCAGCCTTCGGGAGGCCCGCGCGGCGGCCTCCGGAGGGCTGTGCCCGGGCACAACTCTTGGCCCCTCCGTCAGATTGGACCGCGGCCGGCCGTGCGCCCAGGATGGCCGGGGGGCAGCGGCGGCGGGCAGACGTTTGGCGGCGCGCACCAGGGGTGGGGGAGGGGGGAGGGCTTCCTCAGAGGGCAGAGAAGCCACCCCGATGATAACCACCCCGACGCGCGAAGCCGTTTAGCAAGCGCACCCAACGCAGGAATCAAAACAGGGCAGGGCGGCCTCGTGAGCGCCCAGGGCCGTTTAGGAAACGCCAATTGCAGGGTCCGGGTGGTTTTTCCCCCCTTGATTCTTAGCAAGAGGCTGCTGCCTACAAGGCGCCGGCCTTTGTCTGTAGATGAGGCCCGCGCCTTCTGAGAAGCAAGGGGTGCTTCTGGGAAGCCCTCCCCCTCCCCCCAGACCCCCTCTGCGCGTGGCTGAGATGTGCCCAGACATGCGACGTCCTGATTTTTTCAGGACGGCGTCCCCGGAAGTGCAGACCCTTTCCCTGGGGCCGCTTTTTCATCTTGAGTCGTTCTGTTGACGGTCCAGGGCCCGGCGAGGGCCTCCAGAGGCCGAAAATAGTGAAAAACCTCCGTCCTGAATTTTTCACGACGCGATCATGTCTGGGTGCTCGTGTCCACGCAGCCAGATCGGCTCCAGCCGAGTGGCTGCGGACGGGGGGGCGAAGGGTTGCAGCAGCGGCACGGCATGGACATAACCTTTCGGAGGTCCTGGCGCTGCCCCCCTCGGCTTTCAGTGTAAGCTCTTTCCTATCCATGCTTCGTTTTGTCTATGTCTATGTCAATGTCTATGTCTATGTCTATGTCTATGTATATATATATGTATATATATATATATGTATATATATATATATGTGCATGTATGTGTAAATGTGTATATATGTATGTATACACACGCACACTTTGCCACCTAGCCGGGCGACCCAATCCGGGACCTTCCACCCCACTTATTTACATACAGTACAATGCGAAGCCGGCGCTGTCTTTGCAGCGTAGACGTTTCGGCGCCGACGTCGCAACCTACGCGGCAGGAGTGGGACGTGTCGCTGCCGCCTCGGCGCCTGTTTTTCCCGAGAGTTGGTAATCCCGCCTGGGCGCGGCGCGCATCCTTCATTCCCCAGCTCGTCGACTCGCGAGGGGTCCGAAAACGCCGATTTCGCCTGCAAGTGGCACGCTCCCCCCCCCCGAGCGCAGGTGATGCGCGGTGGGCTTCTCGTCGTCGTCGTCGCCGTCGTCGCCGTCGCCGTCGCCGTCGCCGTCGCCGTCGCCGTCGTCGTCGTCATCGTCGTCGCTGTCCTCGTCGTCGTCGTCGTCGTCGTCGCCAAATCGTTGAGGACGCGGCCGCGCGCCAACGGGCGCCTCGTCGCCCCCCGCGCCCTTGCCTGGCCCTGCCGGCAGCAGCCTCTCGCGCGGAGGTGGGCTCCCCGCGGGGGGGGGGCGGCGCGTGCCTCGCTCGCCGAGCTGCGCGAAGACGGCAGGCGAGCCCTTTCTGGGCAGAGGTGGTCCAGCGAGTTCGACCTTTCCCTTTCCAGGAGCCCTCTTCCCTTCGGGGAGGGGTGCCCTCCCCCCTCCCCTCCCTGAGGGTTCTTGCCTGGGCGGGCCGCGGGGTGCCAGGGCGCCCAAGATGGCCCAAGATGGTTCTAACAGGGCGTCCGATGCTCGAAGGCAGCTCAAGATAGCTTCCGACATACCTCCAAGAGACCCGACGAGGGCCACAAGACGGTTCCAAGTGCTCTCGGAGCCCCCTTATGACTCCCCCAAGAGGCCATGCTTCAACATCCTAAAGAAAGCCATGAGTTTGGCCTTCGCGCCCTTTCGCTCCCGATGCACTTTTTTGAGGCCTGACGATGGTCCCCCAAAATGGCCGAAGAGAGCTCCGATATGGGCCCAAGAGGCCCCCAAGACGGCTCCAAGAGCGCCCCAAGAGCGCCCCGAGAGGGCCCCGAGGGGCGATTTTGATGGCCCCAAGGGGGAGACCAGGCGTTACGGCCCCTCTCTT